GGGGTTGCTGCTGCGAGCTGGCAGACGGACCCCGCAGCAGCAGCTGCTGCAGCGCTGGTGGCAGCTCTGGGTGCTGTTGAGGCCAAGCAGATCCAAAACTGCTTACCTGGTGGGGGCCCCCCTGAAGAGGGTACAGGGGGCCCCCCAGGGGGCCCCCCTGAAGAGGGTACAGGGGGCCCCCCGGGGGGCCCCCCAGTTGACTTTTGCTACAAATGTGTCTCTGTGCTGACAGGCCACAAGTCTCGCATATGGAATGTCTCCTTTTTGTCTCTGCTGCCAGCAGCAGAGCAGCAGCAGCTACAGCAGCTGGCTTTCGACTGCCTGCAGCAGCAGCAGCAGCAGCAGCTGACTTACGACTGCCTGCAGCAGCAGAAGCAGCAGCAGCAGGTGGCGGAGGAGCGCAGCAGCAGCAACTGGCGCTGCTGCTGTGGGGAGGACAGCAGGGACGGAGGAGCAGCAGCTTGCTGCTGCTCGGAGCAGCTGCTGCTGCTTGCTGCTGGCAGCACTTTGCTGCTGCTGTCAGCTGGCGAAGATTCAACAGTGAGGGTTTGGGCCCCTGGGGGCCCCTGTCTGTACACCCTGGGGGCCCACAAGGGCGGGGGCGTGAGGGCCCTGGCCACAGGCTGCAGCAGCAGCAGCAGCAGCTGCTGCTGCAGCAGCAGCAGCAGCAGCGGGGGGGGCCTAAAAGGAGACACTGTCTCCTTTTTTGTCTCTGGGGGAGAAGATGGCTGCTGCAAGCGGTGGCTCCTCAGGGGCTTGCCGTCTCTGTGGGGCCAGCTGCTGCAGCACATGAGCAGCAGCAAAGCGCAGCTGCAGGTGCTGCTGCAGCGCCACTTGCAGCAGCAGCAGCAGCAGCAGCGGCAGCAAGGGTCCCCAGACAAGCAGCAGCTGCTGCTGTCACTTCAAGACGAGCAAAAGGCGGCTGCAGCCCCCATGGGGTCGTCTGCAGCAGCTGCAACGTCGGAAGCAGCAACAGCAGCAACTGCAGGATCAGCAGCAGCAACACCTGCTGCTGCTGAAGGAGACACAGCAGCAGCAGCAGGAGAGCTACCAGCAGCCACAGCGTCAGCCGTGGGGTCTTTTCCTGAGCAGCCGCAGAAGACCCAGCGAACGCAGCAGCAGCGGCAGCAGAAGAGACCCATGAAGCAGCAGCAGCGGCAGCAGCAGCAGCAGCATCGCAAACAGCCGCAGCAAAAGGAGACCCCAGGGGCCCAGGGCCTTATGAGTACTGCAGGTCTTAACAGTTGGACTTGGAGCTGTCGGGTCGCAGCAACAGCAGCAGCTGCTGCTGCACCCGCTGCTGCTGCACCTGGAGAAGGCTTACAAACAGCAGCAGCAACAGCAGCAGCAGCAGCAGCACCTGCTGCTGCTGTTGCTGCAGGCACACCCGGCGAAACAGCGGGACAACGCAGAAGCCCAAGACCAGAAGAGACAGCCACCGTCGACAACCCCCACAACAAAACCTCAGCAGCAGCAGCAGCAGCAGCAGCAGAGCACGCAGCAATAACAGCAGCAGCAGCAGCCGCAAGAATCTGCGAGGGGACTTGCGGCTGGCTCGGCGGCAGCAGCAAGGACTTCGTTCGGGAGGTGTTCTTTTGCTGCAGCAAGGAGACAGAAGGAGACAGTTTGATTATCTCCACGAACTACGGCCACGTCTACCTAGTTACGCGCCTCGTTGCAGCAGCAGCAGAAGCAGCAGCAGCAGCAGCAGCAGAAGCGCGCTTTCGCTGGCTGCTGCTGTGCTGCGTTCCCTCTCCCATCACGGCCACAGCAGTGGCAGATTGCTGTCTCTTTCTAGGGGGTGCAGATGGCAGGGTCAGAATCTGTCTCCTGCAGCAGCAGCAGCAACAGCAGCAGCAGCAGCAGCAGCAGCGGCATCTAGCAGCGGTGACTGCTGCTAGGGCCTTTGAGGGCGCCCGTATCTCCTCGGCCTCCGTCTTTTCGCTGGGGCCGCTTGCAACACCAGTTGCTGCTGCTGCTGCTGCTGCTGTCCCAGGTGTGCTGCTGCCGCTGGCACGCAGCAACAGCAGCAGCAGCAGCATCTGGGGAGACATTTACTGCAGCAGCATGACTCAGGGGGGGCCCCCAAATGCTGCAGGGGGGCCCCTTGGGGGCATCAGTGACCTCACGGCTGGTTTTGCTGCAGCTGGGGACCACACGGGAACAGTGCAGCTCTACTTCTGGAGACAGCAGCAGCAGCAGCAGCAGCAGCAGCAAAACTCAGTCTCTCTTCCTGCTGCTGCTGCACCTGCTGGTACTTGTGGGGCTGTTGATGCTGCTGGAAAGGGTGAGGGTGAGTTGCTGCTGCTGCAGCAGCTCGCTGCTGTAAAGCTGCCGCGCTATCGGCAGGATGCCCGGGCACCCCGCAGCAGCAGCAGCAGCAGCAGCAGCAGCAGCGGTGTTACTAACCGCGTAATGTGCTCGCTCTGTCTGGTGTCTGTACACCGCACGGAGGCCCCCGCAGCTTCTTTTTTGTCTTCTGTCTTTTTACTTGGCGACGAACACGGCTCGCTTCACGTGCTGCTGCTGCAGGTCCCAGCAGCAGCAGCAGCAGCAGCAGCAACAGCAACGACAGCAACAGCAGCAGCAGCAGCAACAGCAACGACAGCAACAGCAGCAGAAGCAGCAACTGAGGCAGCGCCAGCTCGTGCATCGGCAGCACCTGGGGCTGCGGCAGATCAGGTACGTCTGCAAGAGCACCCGGAGGTGCAGCAGCAGCAGCAACGTTTGCTGCAGCAGCAGCAGCAAAATGAAGTCCTGGAGCAGCACTGGGATTGGGCTGCTGCCCGCTGCACAGTGCAGCAGCCTCTGGTGGAGATACACCCCAGGCGCCGCATTTGCTGTCTCAGCTGCAGCAAGGCTTTTGTCTTATGCTGCGGCGGCGACGGCCGCATTCTCATCCTGAAGGTGTCTCTTTCCAGCAGCAGCAGCAGCAGCAGCAGCAGCAGCACGAGCAGCTGTTTATGGACACAGCAGCAGGTCTTTCTGCAGCAGCTGCATGCAGTCAGAATAAATCAAATTACGAATTTTGTTTGTCTCCTTCCAGTGGGGGGCCCCCAGGGGCCCGGTGGCCGCTGGTGGGGCTTTGGTGCTTCT